ATAAATAAGAGGGGTCAAAAACCGAGGGTTCCGGACGTGCTTTCGGAAAACAGCTGTTAGGAAGTGATAAAGTAGATTATATTGATGCCGGAAATGTAAAAGAATTTTGGGTCTTCGGCTGTTTTGACGAATAATAGATTTTTCAAATTTGTCATGTATAAATAAAGGGGGGTCAAAAACGGAGGGGTTCCGGACGTGCTTTCGGAAAACGGCTAGTAGGGAGTGATAAAGTGGATTATATTCTTGCCAGAAATGTAAAAAAATTTTGGGTCTCCGGCTGTTTTGACGATTAATAGATTTTTTCAAATTTGTCATGTATAAATAAAGAGGGGTCAAAAACGGAGGGTTCCGGACGTGCTGTCGGAAAACGGCTAGTAGGGAGTGATAAGGTAGATTATATTGATGCCAGAAATGTAAAAAAATTCTGGGTCTTCGGCTGTTTTGACGTATAATAGATTTTTTCAAATTTGTCATGTATAAATAAAGAGGGGTCAAAAACGGAGGGTTCCGGACGTGCTTTCGGAAAACAGCTGGTAGGAGGTGATAAAGTAGATTATATTGATGCCGGAAATGTAAAAAAATTTTGGGTCTTCGGCTGTTTTGACGAATAATAGATTTTTCAAATTTGTCATGTATAAATAAAGAGGGGTCAAAAACGGAGGGGTTCCGGACGTGCTTTCGGGAAACGGCTAGTAGGGAGTGATAAAGTGGATTATATTCTTGCCAGAAATGTAAAAAAATTTTGGGTCTCCGGCTGTTTTGACGTATAATAGATTTTTCAAATTTGTCATGTATAAATAAAGAGGGGTCAAAAACGCAGGGTTCCGGACGTGCTGTCGGAAAACGGCTAGTAGGGAGTGATACGGTAGATTATATTGATGCCAGAAATGTAAAAAAATTCTGGGTCTTCGGCTGTTTTGACGTATAATAGATTTTTTCAAATTTGTCATGTATAAATAAAGAGGGGTCAAAAACGGAGGGTTCCGGACGTGCCTTCTGAAAACGGCTGGTAGGGAGCGATAAAGTGGAATATATTGATGCCAGAAATGTAAATAAATTTTGGGTCTTCGGCTGTTTTGATGAATAATAGATTTTTTCAGATTTGTCATGTATAAATAAAGAGGGGTCAAAAACCGAGGGTTCCGGACGTGCTTTCGGAAAACAGCTGGTAGGAAGTGATGAAGTAGATTATATTGATGCCGGAAATGTAAAAAAATTTTGGGTCTTCGGCTGTTTTGACGAATAATAGATTTTTCAAATTTGTCATGTATAAATAAAGAGGGGTCAAAAACGGAGGGTTCCGGACGTGCTTTCAGAAAACGGCTAGTAGGGAGTGATAAGGTAGATTACATTGATGCCAGAAGTGCAAAAACTTTTGGGTCTTCGGCTGTTTTGACGAATAATAGATTTTTTCAAATTTGTCATGTATAAATAAAGAGGGGTCAAAAACGGAGGGTTCCGGACGTGCTTTCAGAAAACGGCTGGTAGGGAGCGATAAAGTGGAATATATTGATGCCAGAAATGTAAATAAATTTTGGGTCTTCGGCTGTTTTGATGAATAATAGATTTTTTCAAATTTGTCATGTATAAATAAAGAGGGGTCAAAAACCGAGGGTTCCGGACGTGCTTTCGGAAAACAGCTGGTAGGAAGTGATAAAGTAGATTATATTGATGCCAGAAATGTAAAAAAATTTTGGGTCTTCGGCTGTTTTGACGAATAATAGATTTTTTCAAATTTGTCATGTATAAATAAAGAGGGGTCAAAAACGGAGGGGTTCCGGACGTGCTTTCTGAAAACGGCTAGTAGGGAGTGATAAAGTGGATTATATTCATGCCAGAAATGTAAAAAAATTTTGGGTCTCCGGCTGTTTTGACGTATAATAGATTTTTTCAAATTTGTCATGTATAAATAAAGAGGGGTAAAAAACGGAGGGTTCCGGACGTGCTGTCGGAAAACGGCTAGTAGGGAGTGATAAGGTAGATTATATTGATGCCAGAAATGTAAAAAAATTCTGGGTCTTCGGCTGTTTTGATGAATAATAGATTTTTTCAAATTTGTCATGTATAAATAAAGAGGGGTCAAAAACCGAGGGTTCCGGACGTGATTTTGGAAAACGGCTGGTAGGAAGTGATAAAGTGGATTATATTGATGTCAGAAATGTAAAAAAATTTTGGGTCTTCGGCTGTTTTGACGAATAATAGATTTTTTCAAATTTGTCATGTATAAATAAAGAGCGGTCAAAAACGGAGGGGTTCCGGACGTGCTTTCGGAAAACGGCTGGTAGGGAGTGATGAAGTAGATTATATTCATGCCAGAAATGTAAAAAAATTTTGGGTCTTCGGCTGTTTTGACGTATAATAGATTTTTTCAAATTTGTCATGTATAAATAAAGAGGGGTCAAAAACGGAGGGTTCCGGACGTGCTTTCGGAAAACGGCTAGTAGGGAGTGGTAAGGTAGATTATATTGATGCCAGAAATGTAAAAAAATTCTGGGTTTTCGGCTGTTTTGACGAATAATAGATTTTTTCAAATTTGTCATGTATAAATAAAGAGGGGTCAAAAACAGAGGGTTCCGGACGTGCTTTCGGAAAACGGCTGGTAG